TCCTCTGGTACTTTTATGATCTAGATGTTTAATTTACTTTTGTTCTGGCTTAAATGCCACCAACATGTCATTCTTTCACAAAGAAATATCCCTGGCTTCATCCGCCCTCCTTTGGGGCTCAGCAACCCAGCAGAATAATGAAATTTAGAAAGGCTTTTTTAATGCTAAGCAGTTGCATGAGAAATTAAGCAAAATAGCATAATTTAAGCCTAATTCCTGTGTCACTAGTTTTTATATCAGTGTTTATCATGGCAGCAGGCTGGCAGGGGATTATCGGTCCCAATGCCAGTGCCCCCCCCCCCAAAGCACAGCCGCTTCTTCCTCCTGTACGCACGGCTCCTGCCCTGGTGAGCTCAGCTCCCCTTGCCTGGCACAGGGACAGGTAGAACCAGCAAAAAGGCTGGTCTGCTCAAAGATGTGTTTTTTTTAAGGAATTAATATCTTGACTCTCTTGAAATAAAGATTTTCATTAAAAGGGCTTTGGAAAATTGTTCCTCCAGCCCCCTCCCCCTTAGAAATCAAGAGGAATCCTGTTCATTACTGTTTTCCCATAGCTTTGTCCAGAAGCAGCAAAGATGTCGAAACCTTACGTCCCCTCTGCTCTGCTTAGGCAAACCCTCAGGGATGAGGGAGGGAGGGGAGGACCCCAGAGTTCACCCCCTCCCTGGAGCTGTGGGGCAGGGAAGCAACGAGCTGAAGAGGGAAGGGGGGACCAGTGTCCAGGTCCAGCAGAAACCCTCAAGTGACACCGAGCTACACAGACGCCTTGGGTTAGACCAGCCTGAGCAATCCCACCAGCTCTGCGGCTGCGGGACAAAGTCCCCCCCAGCTTTGCACCCGCTGGAGGGGGGCTGCTGCAATTTCATTTTGCTGAAAAGAGCTCAGGGCAGCTTGGGGGTGAAGAAGCATCTCCAGGGCCGAGTCTGGAAGCAGAAAGCTGGTGGCTTTGCTAGGAATCACACAGGACAGTCTGCCAAGTAAAGCACTGGAGGCTCACATGAAGCCGTTCCCATGGAGCGCGAGGGCCTGGCCCCGTGCTCAGGCAGGGAGGGATGCTCTGGGTGGGATGGGGAGGCAGGGAGAGCAGGGGCACCCCAGGGGAGAAGGGCAAAGGGCAGAGCTGCTGGCATCCGAAGGGGCCACTTACTGGCATTTGCCTCCCTGAGCTCCCAGCCTGACTCGGTCTGCGCCTGCGTCCCCAGGCACACGCGCATCCCTGTGCCAGGCAGCGCTGCGAAGGGGAACGCCAGAGCAAGGCAAGGCAGGTGGGAGGAATGGGAGGAAACGGAGCCCTCTTTCTTGGAAAACAGTGATTAGCAGTGCATTGTCTCAGGGAGCATTCTTGCAGCATGTTTTTATGTCAGACCATTCTTTCTGTGCAGTGCTTGGCGTAACAGAAACAAATAAAACAGGATCAGCCTTACACAGAAGTCATTCTGGAAACTGCCATTTCCTTCTTTCCAAGGAAAGCATCCTGGTGACTCAGCAGCACGGGGCAGATTGGCAGCCCTGCAGAGCAGAGAAACGTTCCCCGGAGAATCCAGTGATTTTCAACCATAACACCACGAAGGATATTGCACTCCTAATATTCGAGACCCACCCCCACCCAACCAGTAGCAGGACAGAGGTGCCGTAAGGGGGAAAACATCTGCAGCAAAGAGAGGAGCCAGGGCTGCTGGAGAGGGACGAGAGGGGTGCTGGTCCCCAGGCTGGTGCAGCTGCTCCTGGTGAGCTCCTGCCCACAGCCCCCCACCCCAGTAGCAGGACAGAGGTGCCGTAAGGGGGAAAACATCTGCAGCAAAGAGAGGAGCCAGGGCTGCGGGAGAGGGACGAGAGGGGTGCTGGTCCCCAGGCTGGTGCAGCTGCTCCTGGTGAGCCCCTGCCCACTGCCCCCCACCCACCACCGCTCCCAGCCACGCTGAGGCGGCCCCGGGGCTCTGCCCCAGCCCCCAGAAGGCACGGGAGGGCCGTGAGGAAAGCGATGGGGAGGCAGCACCAGGAGCATGTGAAGCTGTGTAACCTATGCGTGTGCCAGGGCTGCAAACCCAGCCACACCACAGGGCTTCCCTGGGCCCAGCGCAGCTTTTGGAGAGCTGCACTGAGCTGAAAGAGCCAGGGAATTCTGAAATTATTTGCACTTGGCTATTTCCAAGGCTGTTGGACTCTCCATCCTTGCTACTCCTTACCAGAGACAGGCAGGGGGATGGTTGTGGGGCTCTACTTTTGGTGCAGCCCATCACAACTCGCTTCCCAGCAGCTTTTTCACCCAGCACAGCTCCAGCAGCCCCAGCCATGAGATCAAGGGGCAATAGTGGGGCAGCTGCAGCCCACCCCAAGGCACAGGAGCACACAGCTCCCGCTGGGGAAGGGGGCACAGGCCCTGCAAGCAGGCAGAGGGCCAAAAGCTCAGAGCAGGGGATGTTCTTACCTGGGCAGCTTGGTACTGGCAGCAGAGCAGCTCCTACAGGAGTTCAGAGATTACTACAGCTAATGATAGAAAGTTGTAATAAAATCTGACACATTAATGTGAAATACAATGGAAAAACAGACTTGTATCAGCTAACAAACCAGCCTGCATCTTATCTAGACTTCCACTTCAAAGAGGTGCAGGTCAGAGCTGCTCCCAGCCTCACAGCACCCACAAGGGGGGAGCAGGGCCGTATTTATCAGGGAACACTTTAATTGGCACCGAGCGACAGCTGGGACACCCAGGTGAGCAGCGGGTGCGGAGCAGGGGAGGAAACGGGGCAGCAGCTTCAAATAGGGGGGTGCGGGCAGGCAGCAGGGAGAGAAGGGGAATTTGGGTGTGGGGGGACATTATGTGAGGCAGACTGCTGACTGGTTTGGAGCTAGAGATGGGAATACAGAGGGCACTGAAGAGCTTTTAAGGGGTGCTCTTAATGGCTTGGTGCAGTGAGCAGAGCTCTGGCTGGAGAAGGCAGCAGGGGAAGCGAGGGGGGCTGTGGGGCGGGCAGTGAGAGCCCTGCAGTGCGGCAGCAGAAAGGATTCCTGCGGGAGCTGCGGGTCTCGGGGTATCGCCTCGGGCTTATCCTGCCCCGAGGGAAGC